CCTGAGGAGCTCCGGCGACGATCGGAAGGCCGCAGCCGTCGCCGGAGCGACGGCGAACAAGAAGGTGATCCTGAAGAGCGCCGACATGAAGGAGGAGATGCAGAAGGAGGCGATCGACTGTGCCCTAGCTGTACGATCATTTCCCTAGGTTTTATTATTATTATCTTTTTTTTTTTTTGAAGTGGAAATTTGTTGATCTGCTGTTGATTTGTAGGCGTTTGAGAATAACGGAGTGGAGAAGGAGATAGCGGAGTACATCAAGAAGGAGTTCGATAAGAAGCACGGGCCCACCTGGCACTGCATTGTCGGCCGAAACTTTGGTAACCTTTCCTTTTTCTCAAACCCTAAACTTTTAAATTGGAGTTATAATATCCTTAGATCTGCGTGTGTTGGTAAGAATTTGTTGGGGTTTTGATGGGGCGTTGGATAGTTTATTGTGGTTGTAGTCTGATAATGTAGATGAGATTTCTTTTTTGGATGAGCTTTCGCCGAATATGTGATGTTTATTTTCTCTGTTGAAGTTCTAATGTGTCGGTTTATGGTCAACTCAAGCATAAACATTCAAGGGTTCTATACCTCAAGGTTCTGTAGGCTGATGGAGTAGATTATCGATAACAGGAGAGGAAGTATATAGCGAATCGAGTGCAAGGGTCATTGTCGATTGTTTTGCTACCGAACTCCTCGTGTCATGTCTGATCTCTCTCACCCTAAGTAAAATCATAAGTGGTTGCAGACATATTGGTTTCATATTCTTTAAACCAGTTTATGTTGGCTCTTGACTTCAAACACCTCAAAATAATGGGGCAAAAAAATGACTTTCTTAGTTCAATCATACATTTTCCTCTTTGACCATGTTTTAATCAATTTGGATATTTTGCATTCATTACATGTAAAAAAACGGCTGTAAAGGAAGTCATATAGCCTTGTCCTAAATCTAAGACCTTCTGTTAGCTCACCCCTTGATTACTAGTGAATGAGATCTTACTCTTAAGAGAAGTTCAAATTACATTCTATTATTTGATGCCTATATTGATTTGCTTTGGTTGAAAGTGCAGAAAAATGAGAAGTAGAGCGTGAATGGGAGGATTATTACCCATGGCGGAGCTAGGGTTCCAAGTTTGGGGAGGTCAAAATATTTACAGACATATGAACAAAATAAAATATTACCGCTCGTGTCAACTGTCAACATATTGAATAAAAATTATATAGATAATAATATAGTTGCAATGCATCAAATGAGAAGTAGAGCATAAAGGAAGTCATATAGCCTTGTCCTAAATCTAAGACATTCTGTTAGCTCACCCCTTGATTACTAGTGAATGAGATCTTACTCTTAAGAGAAGTTCGAATTACATTCTATCATTTGATGCCTATATATAGTGCTTGAGTTGCTTTGGTTGAAAGTGCAGAGAAATGAGAAGTAGAGCGTGAATGGGAGGATTATTACCCATGGCGGAGCTAGGGTTCCAAGTTTGGGGAGGTCAAAATATATACAGACATATGAACAAAATAAAATATTACCGCTCGTGTCAACTGTCAACATATTGAATAAGTGCTTAAAATTATATAGATATAATGTAGTTGCAATGCATCAAAGGAAAAAAAAATTAATTGCTAATGTTAGCAAGCTAACATCAATCTAGCAATTTTACCTCCATCAATAGCAAATAATGATAATTTTTATCAATAAATCACAATAATTTATACATCAAGATCAAGACAAACATAAATAAAGTAGTACTATCAAAAGGAGAAAAAAATGAAATACAAGAACAAGCAAGATTTAAGTTTTTCAACAAGCTTCAGTTTGGCTCTACTACTAAAAAAGAACAATAAAAACTATGGTTTGACTGTTTGACACTAAATTAGGGCAATTTTGTTTCTCTATGTTGACAAGACTACACATAAATAAATAGAACTAATAATTATATTAAACAATGAATGTAGTGATGCTTTACCTTAATCGAAAGAGGCTTTAAAGATTCGACAAAAAAATTTGTTGGGACACCCAAGCCAAGTGAGGTGAGTGAGAATTAGTGTTAGATTTGTTAAGTAGAGTGAAAAAAGGGTAGGGAAGAACAATTTAAAACTATAGAAGTAGTTTTTCGTTGAGGTTTATTGAGAGAGAAGCAAAAAAAGAATTAGAAAAGGGTACCCCTAATCTGCCAAGAAATTTCAGAATAAACCCCAAAATTGTTCATAAGTTGCAGAAGGTCCTTGAAATGTACATGATTTGCAGAAAGGTTCCTAGAATATACATGATTTGCGAAAAGGTCCTTGAAGTGTGCTGAATTTGTAGAAAGGTCCTTAAAATACCCCCAAGTGATGTAGACATTAAAGAATAGCCCTAAAAGTGCAGAAATTACAAAATAGTCTTTAGCAGTTGTAGAAATTACAAGACAATCCATATAAATTCAAAAATTGCAAAAAAATTCAAAAGTTCAATGACCAAAAAGTTGATAAACTGAACCCAATGTCGAGAAAGTTGATAAACTAAACCTCAAAATATGGTGTAGATCCCTAAGTCATTAAACTAGAAGATAAATGCATCGTAAAGAAATGAATTGCTTCGTGTAGATAAATATGCACAAATAATAGTCAATTGTGCTGACTCCTAAGTCGTTAACCCAGAACAAATGCACAACTTCAATAAATTGCCAAAATAAGCGAAATTGCCAAAGTCATGAAATGATTTGCTAAAATTAGCAAAATCAAAATCATTTGCTAAAATTAGCAGGAAATCAAGCTAATTCACCAAAATTGGTGAAAATCAAGATAAATTGCTAAAATTAGCAAAATCCAAAGTCTCCAAAATTGGTGAAATTTAAGATAGACTGTCGGGTCTTTAAGACAAAACATTCAAAATTGGTGAAACACAAGATAGATTGCCTAGTCTATAAACTAGCAAATCTGATCAAAATAGTGAAACCCAAAATAACCTGTTGGGTCTCTAAACGAGCTAATACCGCCAAAAATTGCAAAAAGTCCTAGATAGACCATTAGGTCTTTAAACTAACAAAACCCAAATGTAAACTGGGGGTGTACCCCTGGTTAAGCCATATACTCCCAAATAATTTGAATGAAAATAATAATTTGTTTCTTTATCTTTTGAGTTTCTTTTGATTTATGTATTATTGATCCTTACCAAAGGTACCTTTTAAAAAAACAAAACAAGAGGGTAAATGACAATAGACTCTTGAGTCTATTGGAAGTCATGAATCCACAATCAATAAAAGCCCTATTTTAAAAGTGAATTTTGTAAATTTGAAATATATAATCTTTGTTCCATGCATGCTTTACATCATTTAAAATATAGAAATTAATAGAAATACCTCATTATATATTCCCACATAACAAGATACCTCTAAATTGATTAAAAAAATAAAAATTGTAATTTATAATTTCTTGATTTTGTTTTTAATTTATAATTAGTTTCACTTAGAGTCTTAGACATTGTCGATAACATAATATATATCGACCTCAACGAAAACTTTATAGCTTTACCATAAAGACCATCTCTTCTCAAAGTCTTTAATTGTTGAAAATGCCCGTTAATATTCCAAGAGTTGCCCATTCATGAGTATAAACATCCTGTCATTAGAAAAAGGTATTTAATACATAATGCACTTACATTATCAATATATGCACTTCTATGTTATGTTGGAGTTTCAATTTGGCTTTTTTGCTTATGTATCAATATATGCACGAGTTAACAGTTCTACAATAACATACATGTCCTATAATGTGATATTTTAGTATGTCGAAGTGTTCTTAGTGGGATAAAATGTGATGTATGATAACTATAAAGGGGAAATGTGAACCACTTTCTTTGTGAATAATGTTTAAAATCTTTGTGATTTAACATGGATAGTAGATATAAAACATGTGATATGCACAATGTATATATGTCCCATGGATCAACTGAAAAAGTATATGTAAATAAAACAAGTTTCTAATTGTTTTTTCACCTAAGCATGAGCAACATATGAATAATGAGTCTGATCACATTGTAGAACATTTATTTTTTGATGAATAACATGCATTTAGTAACTAAACATCAAGCATATAGACCAAGATAAAAATTTGACTAGTTGAATAAAAGTGCAAAAAATCATATATGCTAATACTACATGCATATGTATATCTCTTCCTACCATACTCCCATCGTACTCCCATGGCAATCCTTCATTGGCTCCATATGTATATTGATTCGAAATTGGAACATACTTTCCATAATACATCATCCTTTGTATTGCCGGAATATTGGCATACTTCCCACGCCATGTTATTCCTCAGTATTGTCACTGAACAATATGGAATCACAACATCCCATATTTCTATCCTCGACACCATGTCTGAACTATCCAAAATCATATCACACTCTTACCAGTATTTCATTCCTTGGCATTATACTCAAACCAGTACCAAATCATGACATGCTTCCAGACAACCTATAACCACTCAAGGTCATACAACATGGATAGCTAGAAAATTCCATTTGGATGTGAAATTCTATAAGACGATTAGTGTGAAGCTTACGGTTCGGTGAATGCATGACTATCAGTGCAACTATATGAGTTACAATCATATAAATATAGGTGAAACTAACGCGACCAAAAATAAGTTCAATAAATCCATAGTATGGATGTGATTTCTAATTTGCTAGATCTGCTATGCAAGATTGCATATTCATGAGCATGCTGTAGAGAGTCACATGCCTATATTTTATACATGAATATACAATATGAATATAGATTAGGGTAAAAGATTGGTTTAGGATTATTTACATATTGATTGATATCACGAATATGAATAAAATAATCACTACTAGTATTCCCAGTGCACGCAATGTGTGCATGTCACACTTATATGCATTAAAAAAATGATAACAGTTGATGATAAATAGTAATTCATTCAACATGTCAAAATTCAACATATCTTCCTTCCTTGCTTGAACATGAGCGTATGAAAAATCACAAAACATTCATGAAATTTGTGACTTCATTCACATAAATGTCGGACAACTTTCACATGATTAATAATTTCATCCTAAATTGTTCAATGAACTCCGTTAAGCATTCATAATCACATACTATATTATATTTCAATCATATATTAACAATTATTAACAAAATAATTGAACTGTTTCTAAATTTAAAAAGACTGGACCAATAAAAGATCATAAATGAACCATCTTTAATATATTTTCAACAAAATCAACTAAATATTATAGATTAAATCCTCACTATGATGATGATCCCATCCTCAATATGAATATCAACAACTTATTTATTATGAGCATTTGCCTCTGGCCCTCCCT